ACTAACTTGATGTAAAATACGAGATCTTACATCAAAGCATATAAAATAACAGATATTATATCATAGAAAAGCATCTAAATGCCAGTATAGCTCTAAAGGTTTCAAGGAAAACATTCATAAAAGATAAATTAAATAGGAACCCCATGAATACAATAATACAATATATATTAATGAGTTCAACAGTATTTCAAAAATCGGCCGTCTCAACTCAAAACACCAAATAGAGAAATAACACATATGCAGCCAATTCTTCCTTACATTTCATATAATGGAAATACAAGGGCTTTTTACATATACTGGGGTTAGTGAGGAATTCCGAGAACTACCAATTCCCGTTACAATTTACATCAATCCTCTATGCGGGATCAAAAACCCTCGATTCAGGCCTTGAAGCATATATATATAAACATTAAGAAAGGAAATATACAGAACTATGAGAAAACTTAAAAAATTTGTTACTGATAATTGATTGATGATATAAATGTGTTTCACTATATGGTTTATGTTTTTCATGCTAGTTTGTGAAATTTTCTTATTCTATGCTCTAAATTTCCATTGCCGGTCCCAAGCCCAGACAAGAAAGGAAGAGGGTTGTATTAAGTTCACAACCAACAGAAAACTTTTGCCACATCCCTATCATGAATCTTAAACCCACGTTATATGCTCATGCTAGGGCATTAATGACAGAATGGGATTCATATAGCCGGCCCAAATAGTTGGGATAAGGTTCAAATGATGATGATGATGATGCTCTAAATTTCAATACTTCCCTTCTTTGGATTTTTTTAACCATATCAAGCTATAGTCCACCTTCTGTATAGTTTTTTCCATCTCATATAAACTTTAATTATGTTTATAACTTCTTTTTCTTTTCACTGATTTTAATTATTTCTAACAAATTTTTTGCAACTTTTTTGTTAATTTGAGCTTTTTTGGGCTCGAGTGAGTCCAAGTTACTTGTATTGGGAAAGGGGCCAAGTCCTCAGCCCAAGCCAAGCTTTTTAACATTGGTTCAACACATTCAAGTACAATCATATAATTAGGCTTTCTGTTTATATGGTAAGACAGTCCCCTGAATCCAATCTACTTGAGCAAGTTACATATCCAGTTTCCCAGCGCTTTATTCTAAGAGCCAAAACAATCACCATTACATAGAGGACTCACATTGAAAGATGTTAGCTGTCCAGCTTCACCAGAAGCTAACTCCCTCACGAGCTGAGATCCCTTCCTCCCATACATCTTTGCCTATCCCTGTATAAGTGAAAATAATGATAACTATGTCAAAATACTTGAGTTCCTTTGGGCCTGTTTGATAACTGGAAGCAAGTTCATGAATTGTAAATTGGAAGTTTCTGAAGAACTATAAATTAGAAGTTCCTGAAGAACTTCCTGGTTTCTGTGTTTGATAACATTCCTGGGAAGTTAAGAAGTTCGTGGTTTCTGTGTTTGATAACCTACTGGGAAGTTAAGAAGTTCCTGGTTTCTGTGTTTGATAACCTCCTGGGAAGTTAAACAAGAACTGGGTATCTATATTGGATTAGCTTTAAGTAATAGGCAAGTTGTAAATGTTAAAATTGAGACCTAGATATTATTTAATTTTTATTAATTTGTAGAATTTTTTTGGAATACAATATCAATTGAAAGTAAAGTACAATATTATTTTTCTGTCATAACATGAGCACTACTTACATTCACCACTGATGCATCCATATCCCAACCTAAAAAATATAAATCATTCACAAAGCACTACTTACATTCACCACTGATGCATCCATATCCCAACCTAAAAAATATACGTCATTCACAATTAAAAAATATACGTCATTCACAAGTCATGCACATAACATTTGTGTGTTCTCTCTCT